AAAGTATTCATTCATTTTTAAGGGCCTCTATCATCTACATATATTTGGTTTTATGTTTTTTTTTCTCTTGTATTTCCACTATTTTTGAGTATTTAGGAATGACTCTGGTAGGATAGCTGGATTCTGGTGGCGACATAGTGCCCTGTCTATTGTTAATTATGTTCCTCTTCTAGGCATCTAGGTTTAAGGTGATAATAGGTCTAGGTGCTAGTTTATAACTTCACATTTTTTTGCATGGGAATTTTGTTCCTGGGTTTGTGTTTTTTCTCTGGAGTTTCAGAATGCCTGTTAAATGACTGTTGCCTTCTTCCTGGCCTTCTTGGCTTGTGTGTTTAAGGGGAAATGCTTGGTGGTGTTGCAAACTAGGGGAAGAGGAATGCTGGGGAGATGATCTTCAGATGCACTGGAGGCATGGAGAAGGAAGAAGGGAAGATGCCTCCGGTGTTCTACTCCACTGAGAGGAGCAACTTTTAAAATCAGCTGTGGGGTAAGAGACAATGTGATAGATCTGCAGACATCCTAGCTGGTCTTCTGGAAGATGTGGTGAGTAATTTACCAGAGGGTGTCTGCCCCATTGGGTGATGGAACTCAGATATGAGGAGTGTAGGGAAGGGTAGGTGGAGATAGTCTTTGAAATCCACATGAGACATGAAAATGGAGAGGAGAAGCTGGAGCTGGGGTTCTGTTTCAGCCCTAAGGGCAACTCTGAGTATTGAACCCTGAGAGTGGGTAAGGTCTGTGGATAGTTTTCCTGATCTCATACCCAACATCTTAATACAGATTCATTAGGTTCCCAGGGATCATTTATTTACTTATTTTCTTACTTAGGCTTCTGTTGTGATTAATCTATGAAAGACTTTTAGTTTATTGGAAGTATGTGGGCTGCAAATGTCAGTCAGCAGTTATTCTTCTTGGGGGAGTTCAGATACCAGCACCCAAGTTGGAAAGCTTATAATCACCTGCTATTCCACATCCAGGGGATCTGATATGATCTTTGCTCTGTTACCTATACACACATGGAAAATATTCTTTCTCATGCATACAAATATACACATATAATGGGTCTAGACATCTTTGCAAAAGCTCTTAAGACTTATAAAGCAATTAGAGAAAATTCGGTTTCTTGAAGTATATCATAGAATCATCATACAAATATTATTTTAAAAACTATTGTCTTCAATTTGTTTTAAAATTATTTATTTTCTCCCTCTTATACAGGTTTACATCTAATCTTTAATCATAGAAAACAAAATTGTTTTTAAATTTTCTACCAGACATCCTTTTTCTTAAAAAAGGAGAATGAAATCGTATTAGTAACCAAAACTATTTTCTACAATATAGAAATATTAGGCTTCAAGTGAATGATTCCAGTTTTAGTGGAAGAGTCTCCTCACCCAAATCATTTCTTATTATTAGTGATGAGAGAACAGGAGTGCACAGGGTGAGTGGTGGTCAGTGATTTCTCTGATTTTTATTTTCACTAGAAACTTATAATTCTTTTTCAAGTGACAATGTTATATATGCAGGTCTGTCTTTCTGTCTCCTTTTATCAGTGGTACCATCTGTGTGGTGTGAGTTTTTTTTTTTTATTAGTTATGATATGTTGTTTCCCTAGCAAATAATGGAACTTTACTTATTTTTATTTTATGGAAAAAAGCTATATTATGTGTCCTAGTTACTTCCAGATGTCAACATTTCAGAGCCACAGTAACCTTTGGGAACATCTGGTGAGGATGTGCCTCATCAGAGTAGCTAGTTGCTAAGTTTTTGAGAGATTTTATTGATTGATGATTTACGGGTGATGGCCGTTCCACTGAGCATACAGTATCCCCAAGAAATTTGGCTTGCACTAGATAAGACAGCAAGCTTGTCATGAGACAATGACTATGTCAGAGAAAACATCTGGAAACAAAGTTTTCTCATGGTTTTTACCTTTAGTTGCTGAATTGAATTCCTATCGTAAACACCCACAATGATGGATTGTGATCTGCCAGAGTGAGCCAAATAAGCTCATTTGTTACCTCAGGAGCTTTTGTGTAGAGAATTAAATCAGAGCAAAAAAAAAAAGCAAGTTATAACAGAATGTGGTAAACCAAATATTCAAAGGTGGTGGGAATGATGACTTTGGGAGAATGTTGAACATATCAAAATTTAGATGGCAATGGACATAGAAAACTGCATTTAGAGCTTGATTGGTTATTCTTGTAGTACTTTGAATAAAATACTGTTAAAGTATTGAAAACAGTGGTGATTGAGGTCAAAGCATTTCAGTGGCAATTAAAATAGAGGACATGTATGTGATATTTTGGAATTTAACTTTTCTAATTTTCCCATGCCCTCAAGAAATTGATTGAGTAAGGCAGAATTTAAAAAAATTGATTTTTTAGATGGAATATTGACTTTCTTGGGTAGCTATTTTTTAGATGGAATATTGACTTTCTTGGGTAGCTATTATGATTCATTCAGCACTACTTTAAAACAATCAAGAAGTGGATCATAAATAAATGAACAGTCTATGGGTTGTAGAGAAAAACAGCACTATGAAATTGCAGAAGGTAGTCAAATGCTGAACAGAGTCAGGAATGTTCAGGGAGATTATCACCCTTTAAAAGAAGGCCCTTACTCTACATTGGAAGCCTAGCAAGGTGCCCCAAGGGTAAAAATCCATCCTTATATACCCTCAGTTAATGGAGGGATTAGGCAAATAGACCACCAGTCCCAGGAAGCAACTTTATTCAAAGCCTGCTGCAACTCTTGTCCAAGCATTGCAGAGGCCATCACAACTGAGAAACCAAATTTGGGGGAAATCACTGCTGTTGAGCTGGTTCTGGAGACCAGAATGATGTAAAATTTAAGATTATGCATTTTTAGTCTTCATTTTCAGGTCAGGTCTGTTGTAGGCATCTGTGTTTGGTATGGTAAGAGCTCCAGTGAGAAGACTGAGTTCATTCTATAATACTATGAGGATGAAGCCTGAGTTGTATTTTGATACCATAAGATGTTGAAACAATTATGAGACATTTTACATGAAGAGCTAGCTACATATATGGAAAGGAAGTAACCAGAGAGAGATGTATGGGAAGTTGTGGAGAGAGAGCCATCCAAGCCCTTTGAAAATGAAGCCTCATGTTTCTGACACAGAGCTACCAGATTCAACAGTTGTCCTGAAGGGTTACAGTCTTCCCTTGGTCCAATCTTTCCTCACTGTGTGTTAGTTCCCCTCCTTTGGGATGGTAATGGGTTTTCTGTGCCATTCACATGTTGGAAATATTTAAATTGTTTTCTGATTTTATAAGATGCCACAGTCAAGAATTTGTATTGAGTATCAAAAGAGACTTTGGACATTTCAACAGTGTAGGGGTTGTTGCAGACTATGAGAATCATTGAAATGACTAAATGCATTTTCTTCATGGATGACCCTTGAGTATATAGTGACCTGGGTGAGAATCTAGTCAACTGAATGAAAATCTCCCAGATAGGATGAGGAATGTGGACATGTGTCTCTCCTTGGTGACTTTTTTTGGGGTACTTGTGGAACTTCTCTGGATATATATCTCATTGGGGTTTGTGATATGTATTTCCATAGCCTCAACCCATTTCCTTTTCTATGTTTCTACTATGTTGTGGTTGAAATGAATGAGCCAGCTTGCTTCTTGTGCTGCCATGACTTCACCACGAGTATAGATAGTATCACTAAATCATGTAAAATACAATTGATAGAATTGTTACTCAATGCTAAGCCACTTTGCTAGCCCAATTTTTTTTAAAACTTTGTTGTTCCTATTTTTATTTCTGAAGAAAAGCTTTGAATGAGTAGCCCTGACTCTCCTAAAAGTAGCTGTGTAAACCAGGTTGGATTCCAACTCAGAGATTCACCTGACTCTTCCTCCCACTTGCTGAGATTAAAGGTTGTTCAACATTCCAGGTTTTTTTTAAATATATATTATTGGGTGATCGTCCTAGAGTATATGTTTTTGTACATGTCAAGCGTATGTTGTTTTGCTGAGCTTTACCCCCCAATTTCAATTTTGAAATTCAGTAGAAGATACCATTCTTTTCCTAGATGTAGTGTCTGGGCCTTCTGAATCATTAGATTACAATTGTGTTCCATTCTTCTTGCTTTTTGTGTTTTTTTACTGTTTTTTTAATGACTATGAGTCTTTTGTCTATATACGTGGATATACACTACATGTTCACCTGTTCTCACAGTAGTCCAAAGAGAGTTTTAGAATCCACAAGCTTGGATTAATGAACAGTTGTGTGCATCCCCCATATAAGTACTTATAATTGAGCCCATCTATATGCAAGACCAGTAAGAGCACACAACTTCTGAGCCATCTCTCCTTCCCTGTGTTGATTATTTATGATCATCATTGATATTGCTAATGTTATCTTCTTTCTATTTGTACCTCTTTAAATGCACAGTTCCTTTTTCTAAGATTTATTAAAGTAGTTTAAACTGGAGCAAATCAGTTTTCTGGAAGATTAATACAGAACTGTAGTGAATGAGGAACTCTTTGTAGGATCTTCAGTAAAAAATCTGAGTTCATCTTTTCTGTTTTATTTGTTTGAATGGAAGATTCAGTGCAGATACAGTTAGCATAGACTAGGCTAACTTTCACCTCAGAAGCACACATACCTGCTTTACCTTCTAAGTTCTGGGATTAAAGGCATGAGCCGATATACCCAGCTTATAAATCTTCCTTGTAGTTAATAATTGTTCATACAATTTCTCAGATGTGTGCTGGGTACTGTTGAAATGTTTGCTTGTCTCTCTATCTCTATTAATAGGCATTTCTCTTGCAAGGTGATATCCTGTTCAAAACATTCAGAAAAAAAAAGGTGAACCTCCTATTCAGTTTCTTTGTGAAATAAGTTGATGGTTTCATTGTAATGTCTGAGTTATAGAATATGTGTAGCACTCACAAGAATTATGTGACTATATTGTCAAAGAAGCACACATTTACAATGTTGTATCATGCTTTTTGTTTTATACATATGGATGGCATATTTATGTATGGCATATTTTAGAATACAGTGACCTATAATGATGTGCATGTCGACATCACTCAGGAAGAGTGGGTATTGATGGATCCTTCACAGAGGAATCTCTACAAAGATGTGATGCTGGAGACCTTTATGAACCTCACTGCTATAGGTAATACTGTAAATTTTTCTTCACATTTTAAATAAGGGAACAACAGTTTCTTGGTTATTGATGCTCTTCTGTAATCCTGACTGAGAATGAGGTGAATAAAACGGGCTTGGTTCTAAGGATCACTGAAGATAGTAATGTAAATTTTTCAGTTTCCTGTAATATTTTATAAATTTCCTTGTTTGATATTTTAGGCTACAACTGGGAAGATCTTGAAGTTGAAGAACATTATCTTGTACAAGCTGATACAAATGGGCCTCTGGATATATTTAGCTTATCTGGAAGTTTTAAAGAAATGAAACATTGTAAATAAACACAGCTCAAAATGTGTTGATGATCATTACATGCTCATAAACACACATACCTCAATGGCAGGTTAGTGAATTGTGTTTGCAAGTCATTCTTTTAAGAAGGAAGACAAGGAATCAATGCCTTAACAGAAATCATCATTTGAATAATAGCTTCATCAGAGCTATGCTATACAAATAACAATCCTTTTAATTTCATACTATTCAAATTACAAAAGGTAGACTCACTGAATGCATGATAAGAATATGTACAGAACCTTTTGATAAGCAAACAATCCATAGTAAAAGCATTGTTACTCAAAAAGTTATTCTGTCTTTGCTAATTTAGTTAGATAGGTGGTTAGAGTCAAGAATTAAAGTGGGGATGTTGCACAGAAATAATAATCCCTATGCTACATGTTGATGGGGAAAAGAAAGTCCAACAGTAAATAAAATGTGGAAACCTTCTTGTTGTTATTCTTTTTTTAATAGTTATATCATATGTCACTTTGGATCCCAGCCATATGAACATAAGGATATGAAAAGAAGTAATGTACATCTCTCAATCTCAGAACAATTACAAAACATGTAGTAGCCCCATGCTGAGCAAACTTGTTGAATGACATTTAAATTTACAAATAATTGGTTATCCAGCTTAATTTGGACTAAATCAACAACACATCACAGAAAAGACCTATGAGTACTAGGCCTGTGTAAATGCTTCTGTTTGTTCTGGTTCACTTTGAAAATGTAGCATAGTATAGGAAAGTTTATCAGTAGAGTATGTGATGTAAATGTCTGAATTCTCCCAGTTCTCTTCAAATATTTGAAAAATCTCAGAGAAAAATGATGAAATGATGCCATGAATATGGGCCAGGTAGTAAAGGGTTTTACTATGACAGGCATGTTCAAATATGCAAAGCCATCCTTAATGTAGGGAACAACATGAATGTACAAAACATGTTAAAAACTAAAGATAACATAACTCTTTATATTCACACAAAATTGTAAAATTAATTCATGCAGATATAAAGACTCAACAATGTAATGAATGTGGCAAAGCTATTAAATGTTTCAATTATCCTTGCAGGCATGAAAGAAGTCATACTACAGAGAAATCATCTGAACACACTCAATGTGGTCAAGTGTTTGTACATCATAGTCATCCTCCAAGGTATAAAAAAATACATACTGGAGACCAACGCTATGAATATAATCAATATGGTAAAGCCTTTGCATACCCTACTCATATTCAAGTACATAAAAGAACACATGCTGGAGAGAAACCCTCTGAATGTAATCAGTGTGGTAAAACTTTTGCTTATCACAGTCACCTTCAAGTACACGAAAGAATACATACTGGAGAGAAACCCTATGAATGTAATCAGTGTGGGAAAGCTTTTGCTTGTCATAGTAATCTTCAAAAGCATGAAAGAACACATACTGGAGAGAAACCCTATGAATGTAATTAGTGTGGGAAAGCCTTTGCACAAAATGGTGCTCTTCAAATGCATGAAAGAACACATACTGTAGAGAAACCCTGTGAATGTCATCAGTGTGGTAAAGCTTTTGCTTGTCATAGTAATCTTAAAAGGCATGAAAGAACACATACTGGAGAGAAACCCTACGAATGTAATCAGTGTGGTAAAGCTTTTGTTCATCACAGTACTCTTAAATTCCATGAAAGAACCCATACTGGAGAGAAACCCCATGAATGGAATCAGTGTGGTAAATCTTTTGCTTATCACAATCATCTTCAAGGGCATGAAAGAACACATACTGGAGAGAAACCCTATGATTGTAATCAGTGTGGTAAAGCCTTTGCTCGTCATAATGCTCATCAAAGGCATAAAAGAACACATACTGGAAAGAAACCCTATGAATGTAATCAGTGTTGTAAATCCTTTGCTTATCGTAATACTCTTCAAAGGCATAAAAGCACACATACTGGGGAGAAACACTATCAATATAATCAGTGTTGTAAATCCTTTGCTTTTCACAATACTCTTCAAAGGCATAAAAGAACACATACAGGAGAGAAACCCTATGAATGTAATCAGTGTGGGAAAGCGTTTGCTCGTCACAGTACTCTTCAATTTCATGAAAGAACACATATTGGAGAGAAACCCTATGAATGTCATCAGTGTGGGAAAGCGTTTGCTCGTCATTGCTATCTTCAAGGGCATGAAAGAACACATACAAGAGAGAAACCATATGAATGTAATCAGTGTGGTAAAGCTTTTGTTCTTCACATTACTCTTCAATTGCATGAAAGAACACATACTGGAGAGAAAACCTATGAATGTAATCAGTGTGGGAAAGCCTTTGCACAAAATGGTACTCTTCACGTGCATGAAAGAACACATACTGGAGTCAAACACTATGAATGTCATCAGTGTGATAAAGCTTTTGCTCATCATAGTGATCTTCTAAGGCATGAAAGAACACATACTGGAGAGAAACCCTATGAATGTAATCAGTGTGGGAAAGCCTTTGCACAAAATGGTGCTCTTCAAGTGCATAAAAGAACACATACTGGAGTCAAACCCTACGAATGTCATCAGTGTAATAAAGCTTTTGCTTGTCGTAGTGATCTTCAAAGGCATGAAAGAACACATACTGGAGAGAAACCCTATAAATGTAATCAGTGTGGGAAAGCTTTTGTTCATCACAGTACTCTTAAATTCCATGAAAGAACACATACTGGAGAGAAACCCTCTGAATGTAATCAGTGTTGTAAGTCCTTTGCTTATCACAATACTCTTCAAAGGCATAAAAGAATACATACTGGAGAGAAACTCTATCAATGTAATCAGTGTAAAACCTTTGCTTTTCACAATACTCTTCAAAGGCATAAAAGAACAAATACTGGAGAGAAACCCTATGAATGTAATCAGTGTGGGAAAGCTTTTGATCGTCACAGTACTCTTCAATTGCATGAAAGAACACATACTGGAGAGAAACCCTAGGAATGTAATCAGTGTGGGAAAGCATTTGCTCGTCATAGTTATCTTCAAAGGCATGAAAGAACACATACTGAAGAGAAACCCTATGTATGTAATCAGTGTTGTAAAGCTTTTGCTTATCACAGACATCTTCAAAGGCATGAAAGAACAAATACTTGAATGAAACCATACAATTGTAATCAGTGTGGTAAAGTCTTTGCTCAGCACCCTGCTCTTCAGTTTCATGTAAGAACACATATTTGAGAGAAACCCTATGAATTTAAACAGTGTGGTACAGCCTTTGCACACCCCAATCATCTTCAAGTATATAAAAACACATACCAGAGAGAACCCCTTTGAACATTATCAATGTGGTAATGCCTAGTGAAAACACAGCAACCCTATAACTATAAAACTTTTAGTGTGTAATTGGTATCTTAAAGCCTTAGAATATAATATTAGACTTTGAAGATCTGAAAAAAAACATACCAAAGGAAATCTGAATATATATAAATTGGTATGATCTTTAGCAAACATACATTCAATTACACAAGATTAATTATTTTGGAAAAAAATCTAAAATGTGTCACTAATCTTTTCCAACATTATAATACCTCTTTATTTTGTTTACACCTGTCAACTAATATGGATAAAAGGCCTATAAGTTTAAATGATAAGGTAACCCTCTTAGATTTCATACATCTCTTCAAATACATAAAATAATAAATTCTGGTGTAAAATTTCATAGATGTGTATCATTGCTTTTCTGTTGCTTTGATAATGGATCATATCTCAGTGAACTTAGAAAGTGTTTAATTTAGCCCTTGGTTCCAGAGCAATACTTGAACCCTATAAAAGTGGCATGGAAACAAATGACAGACATGGCAGTTAAAGCAAGAGGCTAAGAATTCATATTCTTGTCCTGCAGCATGAAGAAGAACATAAATTGGAAATGGTATGCAGATGGGAACTCTCAGGCCAATCCCCAGTGAGAGATTTCTTAAAGCAGGGTAACATTTCTTAAATCTTCCCAAATTATACTACTGACTGAAAATGACTTATTTCTCTAACTTCAAGTCTTCATGCTTTCTTTCTGAAACATGAAACACAATTCATGATAGTGAAAAACTCTGTAATCATTTAGGTGCCTCAAAACCCATGGTACCAGAGTTACAATAGAAAAACTTTCATGATTTAAAGTTAGTTTTAATATTTTTTATTTTAATTAAGCAATATCTGTATGTCTTTCAGTGGGTATATCTATGTGCATTCTAGTTCCCAAGGTTAGACCATTGGCCCTTCTTACAGCAGGAATTACTCGAATTCGTCGAAAACCAGACCTTGGTCCAGGAAATGAATTTGTATTAAAGACTTGGCCATTTCTCTATCCCTGTCAACACTTTAATCAGTATTCCTTTCTTTTTTTTTTAATTTTTGAGACAACCTTACACTGTGTAGTTTTGTGCCTTTCCAGGAACTCATTTCCTAGACCAGGCTCACTACCAACCCACAGAGGTCCACCTGCCTCTGCCTCCCGAGTGCTGGGATTAAAGGCATGTGCCACCACCGCTTAGCCCCTGTCAACATTTTAAAGTGCTTTATGTCATCTCGATACCAGGAAATATGTAGGTGCTCACACAAAAGGAACCCTACTTATGTAAACTTTATGTAAGACTTTTGACATCACAATTGTTTTCTGTTTCAAGGGAAAAAACCTTGTTTTAAATCTTTTTCCTTGTAGCTTTGAAGTAAGTAAGTTATTAACCATATTCACTAAAGACTGATGTGAAGACTACATTGTGGCATCTATTTTACAACATGAGTGATAGAGATTGAAGCATTCGCTATGTGTGGCAAATTCAATTAGTGAAGTTTATTTTGTGGTCCTTTCATTCCTTCTGTGGTTTTTGTTCATCTTTTTTGACTTTCATGTAGTAAGAGGTATTTATCTGCTGCAATGTATAGAATGGGATGGCGATTATCTAAGTGTTTGATTTTTATTTAAATCTCAGGCAGTATGTCTTTTGCTCTTTTTTTAATATATTTTATTTTATTTTTATGTGCATTTGTGTTTTTGCCATGGGTGTCAGGGTCCCCTGAAACTGGAGTTACAGACAGGTCTGAGCTGCCATGTGGGTGCGGGGAATTGAACTCGGGTCCTCTGGAAGAAGAGTCAGCACTCTTGACCCCTGAGCCATCTCTCCAGCATCTCAGGCAGTATGTGATCACAATTTTCAAGTAAGGATTTTGGGAAAGGGTGGTGGATTTTTGTTCTTGGTTTTATTTTTGATACTTTTTCACAAATTCCCTTGAAATGTTGTTTGTTATCCAGCTTGGTTTGAATGTCAGTAATTAGTCATAGATACATTAGAATTCATGATCCTTCTGTGTCAGTCACCTGAGCAAAAGTCTAAGGGTAGATGATGTAGTTTCATTGATTGTTGTTTTGTCAAAAATGTAGGGAAAAGGTGCTGGGTAAAGAAACCCAGAATGGCCAGGTGGTGGTGGTGCATGCCTTTAATCCCAGCACTCGGGAGACAGAGGCAGGTGGATCTCTGTGAGTTCGAGTCCAGCCTGGTCTCTAAAGCAACTTCCAGGAAAGGCAAAAAGCTACACAGAGAAACCCTGTCTTGAAAAGCAAAAAAAAAAAAAAAAAGAAGAAAGAAAGAAAGAAAGAAAGAAAGAAAGAAAGAAAGAAAGAAAGAAAGAATCCCAGAATGATCCTGGAGCCCAGAACTAGGGAAAGATAACACAGATAAGGCCAGTAAAAAAAAAACTCACAAAAAAAGCAAACAAAGAAACAAACAAAAGAGAAACAACACAGTTTGGCTCAAATCAGTGCTATCTCTTCCCCTGACCAACTGAGTTGTGAAACCAACCAATCACAGAACAGGATAGTAGAATCCTGTCTCTAGGGCCCAGGAACAGGGAAGGAAACACAACTTGTATTTTGTACCTGAGCCATGTACCTGAGCCAGAGAAACGAAACAAGGAAACATGCCCTGACCCTGAAATTGATTCCAAAATAACACTCTTGGTCCCTAGAATCAGAGTCAGTGAAAGAAATGAGCCCTGACCTTAAAGGAAGTGTCAAAAAGCCAAGAAAGGCCAGTGAAAGAAAAACAATTTTTCCCTGTAATCAGGACCATCTCTGTCCCCATCCCACAAAACTGGCCAATTCCTGGGCAGAAAAAAAAACAAAAAACAAAAAACGATAGTTTGACTCCATCCCCAAAACATCCTATATAAACTTTCCTGTCTGGTCAAAGGAGAGTTATTCTCTCCACTCTGCTAGATGCAGCTATTCTCCTGGACTCCTAATTCCCAAATAAATCTCTTTCTCAAAAGTGTTTTGGGTGTGAAAAACTTCATTCACTGGTTCACAGAAGAACCTTGTTGGATTGAGCAAGGGGGAACTGAACAAAAGAACCTTGCTGAGATGTCTCACAGTGGCTTGAGCAAGGGTGAGCTGAATGGAAGATGCTTCCTGAGCAGACAGAGCAAAAGTGTAGATGTAACCAACGGTCTTATCAAATAAGAAACACAGTGCCAATTCAGAGAAGAAAACCAAGAGGTCAGAGCTAAGAGCCTCACCCTTCCTGATTCAGGGATCCTCTCCAGCCAAGAGAGCTCTCCAAAAAGGACCTACTTCCTGTGTGTCTGTCTTTAAAGTCTTCCTGTTCTGCCTTGTCATTGGTTGTAAACCCAAACATGTGACTGCCTCGTCACTGCCTGAATGTACCGCCCTCCAGGTCCTTAAAGGCGTGTGCCACCGCCGCCATGCACTTGCTATGACTCTAATAGCTCTGACCCCCAGACAACTTTATTTATTAACATACAATTAAAATCACATTTCAGTACAAGTAAAATACCACCACACAAAAGAGCTGAAAAGTAACACTTTTTTTCTTGAGCGAGAGGAGATTGCTACATTTTTGTAATTTCTTTGGTCAGAGAAGCAGGGATTTTCTAGGAAGCCCCCTTAAGTGGGCGCTGAGCAAACTCAGCTGTAGTGGCTCTGTAGGAGAGGAGCAGGATTGCTATATCCTGCAGGAAGACCATCCCCCATCACACCAGGTATAGCCTGACTTTCCTGAAGAGTCAGGAAACCCTTCCCTGCTTAAGCACTTCCAGGCCTGACTTTCCTGAGAAATCAGAAAATCTTCCCTCCAGGGTTGGGCTAAACAGCTCCAGGTGTCCAAGACACCTTCAGGGCAGAGTTGTTGTTTTGAGCAGCTTCAGGTGTCTGGGATACCTTGCCATTCAGGAAAGAACTGTCTCCTTGCAGTTACAGCCATCATAGATTTGCTAAACAGCTCCAGGTGTCTAGGACAACTTCAGGGCAGAACTACTGTTCTGACCTGCTTGAGATGTCCAGGATACCTCGTCCTTCAGGATTGAACTGTCTCTTTGCAGTTCCAGCTGTCAGAGTTGTCCTAAGCTGCTCAAAGTGTTTTCTGACTCCCAGGTACTCAGGACACCTTTGCTCAGAGTTGCAAATCTCACATTTTGGTGGGAAAATTGGAACCAAACCCAGAGTTGTTGCAACCACTTTACTTACAAATACATTTTAATGGTGTTAATTTTAAAGTACTTAATAGATAAACACTTCCTGCATGTATCCAAAGAAACATTTTCTTCTATCCCATGCTTCTCTATGTCCTTATCTGTTATGCATTTGGCACTTCATCCCAAAGTATTGTCTTCTAAGGGAATTATCCAGAGACACCAGATAATGTGATAGCAGTGAGATCTACTTTGTAAGGTCTACTTTTTTCCATCTTCATATGGTGATCAAGGTTACATTACAGCCTTGCACAAGAAAGGCATTTCCAATACAGCTGTCTCATTGATGCTCAAATAAGATTAGTTGTAATATTAAATCAATAAAATATTGTCTTTTTAGATTGTAAACATTTTCATTGTAAGATAAAGCAAAGTAGGAGAAATTGAATGATAAATTCTATTTCCAAGTGAAAATGATACATTGCTATCTCTTTTGTTTTTCCTTTTATTGCATATGAAATTATTTAGTTTATTCTGAGGA